TTTTGTATATGTATAGCGAATTATACATATATATGTTTGTTATGGAGCGCAATTATGCAAACTTTGCTATAGCATACAAATATGAATTTTGTGTTTGCTATATGTGAAAGTTGCTCATTAAAATACATATAAATTGAAACATTTATTAAAACAAACCAAAACAAAAAACATGAAATACATGTATGCTACGTAGGATTTTCACGTGCAGGTGTGGAAGGGTGCCATGTCAAGTTTGATTTATACATTCGGCTCATAGTTATCCATATCACCGCTCATATTTTGAGCTTCCATCTTCGTTCATTTTTATTTGTTCATTACTTATTTTATTTTTTTAAATTTTGAAAAGGAAAAAATGTAGATTTTGATTTATAATCCGTTGACACGCTCTAATTTAATTTCTCCAAAAAAGGAAAATTATAAAAGAAAAGAAGAGGATGTAATCTTTCAAAACAATGCAACAATTTTGAATATAATTAAATATTGAAATATATAAACACACAGTTTATTGGATATTTTTTTAACAAGTAATACAAAGTCCTAACCGAATACTCCATAGATCCTATAATGATTGTCTAGGAAATTATATGTCCTATAGACAAATCAATCTACATACCAAACTCTATTTGTAATATAAAATATTACATCTTGTTGTTTCTCCAAATCACTCCAAGCCTCAAAATTTGGTATTTGGAGCGGTTATCCTGTCACAAAAATTACGATATGATCAAATTAATTTATATATGACAAATAAATTGAAACAAAAGGTAGCTAAACTTACTCGGAACAATTGACTTTTGGTGTGGTAGGGTAAGCCAAGAGAACTTTACAACCCCAAGTAAGTGATTCAGCTGCTTTTGCATTGATATTTGGATCTTGTAATCCTGCCTTAACACATTCACAAATGGCTACTTCTGCTTGAGAGTCCTTTCCCATAGTATTAAGTTTAAATATTTGATTGCAACAAGCCTTTGGAGGAACCTTATTATTCTTGTAACCACTTTTCGTCCAATCTATGCAAGATTTCATATGTCTAGTTATATCTCTACACTTAACTTCATTAGCTTCTAAACTATGCACGGGTTTCAATGAAGACGAATTCGAAATCGATAAGGAGGAGATGATTAGAATAACAACAAGAGCGAATGATGTTGATGATGGACTCATTGTGAAGTTTCGATAGGTAATCTGTCTTATTTTCAGATAGGTAAAGATAGATACGTTTAAAAAGATTTTATTTTTTTTATTTTTTGTTTTTGTTTGTTGTAGTAGAGTTGGCTAAAGTTGTTCATATTTATAGAGGTGAGAGTTTGAAGTTGAATTATTATCCACCATATTTCTAACAAGGATAAAGGAGGTACCACGTATGTTTGTGAGGGCGATGCTTAATTCACTCTCCACATAAGAAGTCTAGCTCATTGAGGCCATTCAAATTATATAAACTTTGAAAAATACTATTCACGGTTTTACTTTATAATAAAATTATAAATTTGTTTTATAGGTTAATCCATAATATAGATTTAAAAATATTATAATATTAACAAAGTAAAAGGAGAAAAATTAAAGGTTAGGGTAAATTGAGAACTTAAATTGTTCAATTGAGATAAATGAGGGAGAATGTGAATTATTCAAAATTAGAAGGAGATGTTACATTTCTAAAACAAAATTTAACGAGTAAATAATTTTCACCCTTTTATTTTTGCGATGGGTCAGTTTATTGCAAAAAAAATAAATACAGACTAGTGCAGATTGCTATTTAGTGTTTACAACTATAGAAACATCAACATAAGACGAAATACACGCAATTGAGAAATTACATGAAGATGCAGAAAAATGAAATACCAAATAATTAATACTAAAGAAAAAACACAAAATTCATGGAATATTTATACTCATAATTCCAGCAAGAGCTTCATCTTAGTGATTTCCAAATTAAGATCATTTTATCCTGCCAAAAGAACAAACATTTAATTTACTCGATGTAATTATAGCAAAGTAATAAATACAGTAGAACAAATTAATAGAAATTAAAAAATAAATAAAAATTTGCTAGTACGTAGTACATAGTTTATTACTATTCCAATAGTTCACCAAAAAAAGTAATTCAAATCTGTTTGGTTATAGTATCAAGCTACTTATTTAAACATATATATATTATAATTATGATTACAACCTATAAGGTAAGTATATATACTAATTAAATAATACAAAAGTAAAAATGCACAAATTTTACCTAATGATTATCTACAATAACATTATAAATGATCCATGTCATGTAAATATTTTTTTTTTATTAATATATAGAACTTAAACTCGTACCAGGACATTTGACATAAGGAGAGAAAGTGAAGGGCAAGGCGATTCCACATCTACGGGGAAGCGCTTTAGCTGTTGCATCGGTGATTCTCAAATCTTTTATTGCTGACTGAACACATCTACAAACAGCTGACCTATCAGCTGTGTTGTTCGCGATTTGTGAGAGAGTTGAAACTCCAGCACAACACGCGAATGGAGGAATCCCAGTCACCCCACTTCCGCCCCTGAAGAACACCACGCAAGGTCTCAAGGCTCGTTCTATGTTGTCACACTTAATGTTTTCGGCATGTGAGTTATAAGTTTGGAGAATCAAGAAGAAGAGTATTGAAAATAATGTTACAAAAGGATATGTAGGCTTCATGGTGAAGTTAAGGCTATTGGGATTTTTGAGTTTGATTTAATTCTTTCCAAATGGTTTGTGGTTTAATTTATAGAAGTTTTAAAGGGACATGAAGACAAATAAAGTTGTTGGTTGATGACGATATATCGAATTGGCTAAAGATAATGGAGAAGATTAAAATAAAATTAAATGCATTATTCACGGTCAATGAGGTGAAAAATTATAGAATTACAAACTAGTTAAAATCAAAAAGTGATTTCTCTTTTGTCGTATAAAAATTTTATATCCTAAATCCGTCTTTACCATAATATAATAGTAATGTTCTCTAAAATAATCAAAGTGTATAGAGCTTGCATGAAATGCGTAGTTGTAGCTTACGTAGGATTTTCACATGGAAGGTGCCATGTTATGTTTGTTTGTAATTGAGTTTGCCCAAAAAAAAAGGGAACAATTATACGGCTCATAGTTATCACAAATATTCTAAAAGAAAAACTTTAAAACAATATATTCAAATTCATACATAAAGAAAAAAATAGTTTGATTTTAGTGCTCTGAATCATATCACATAGTATATTATTATGTTCAAATCGCAATTAGTTTGACGTAAACATCGATAACCCAAAAAGGAAAAAAAAAAAAAGAATAACAAAAACTTTGATAAATTCTCATAACGTACATATTTGATTTAATTCAATGTAAGCCCAGCTAGCTCGTTTCGTATATTATAAGAAAAGCTATTGAATTTTCTCCTCATCGGAGAAAACACAATTTTATTACATGCACAACAAAAGTGCAAAAATCCTGAACATAACATCGAGATATATTATATTACAAATATAAACCAGAAAAAAAAAATCACAATTATAACTTATAATATGCATCCAAACAAATTTTATTTGCTATATAAATAGCCTTCATCACGCCAAAGAAATGCCTTGTATATATATATGGCATCCTTAAAACACTTCAATTGATCCTGCAAGAGTAGTAACGATGTACAAAATTATATATCAAGCACATATCGACAAAAGCTATTAGTCCATAAAAACATTGTTATGACTCATCCCGATTATTAACTCAACTTATGCATAGCTCGATTAAGCTTATTTAAAAATTGAACTGATTTATTTTAAATATGTAAGTCAAATTAATCCAACTGAGATCTTGTGAAAATATTTTAAAAGAATTCTCTTTTTGATTTGATACGTTATATGTATACAACAATAAAAAAAAAAAAAAGTTGAATTAGTTTTGTATGTTAATTAAATAAAATTTGACTAGTGTTGGGAAGGTTGGGTTATTAGTTATGACCCATTGGTTTGCCATCTCAACCCAATGATTCAACATTTATTGCACTCGACTCGTTCAAATTCAGTTTAGTCCGCTCATTTAGCACCCCTATAATTATTTTAGCTCTTAATTTCATTTCACGTACTTCAGATCAACCAACATTTAGACATATTATCGGCCTCTAATAGTACTAAAAAGTTCCATATCACAACACTATTGATTTGTAAAATACGTATAACATTTTCCACGAAAAACATTATTTTCTAAAGTCATGTATGAAAAATGACTATTGTCGTGCCAAACACCCTAATAAGGGAGGGAGGAGAGTAATATTACTTGGTGCAGTCAACAGTGGATGAAATAGGGAAGGACAAGGAGATTCCACAACTCTTAGGAAGACTCCCTGCAAGTTGAGAATTAATGTTGATTTTTTGAGATGCATTCTTTAGACAAGTGCATGCAGCCTGCTTATCTGGTACAGTTGTTGCAGCAGATACAAGAGATTGACAACCATCACAGCAAGGTTGTGGTGGTTTCCCACCACTGCCTTGTAAATAGCTGAGGCAGGGCTTGATTGAGCTAATTACTGTGCCACAAGTGATAGCACCTTCTGAAGATGGTGCAATTAGTAATAGAATTAGAGCCATCATGAATGGTACTAGTACTAATTTTGCTTGGATTGAGGAATTCATGGTTGATTTAAAGATTTTGGACTTTTTGTTGAGAGTACTCTTTTGTTTTTGAGTAGTCTGTTTTTATAGATGAAATTTGAGAAAGCTCACTAGCACAAGTAAGTTATAAAAATGAAAGATTATGTTTGGTTTAAGTGATTGAGTGCAAGAAATGATGGAAAATTATTGATGTATTTTCTTTGTTTAAGATTTGGGTATTGTTTTGTGGAAAGTCAAAAGTTTGGTGCAATGGAGATTGAGGCAATTAGGGAGTGTCATTTTTAAGAAATTAAATTGGGGCAGGGGAAAGTGAAGTGCGCCAGGGTATTACAACGTGAGGAATTAAACTTTTACTAACAAGGTAAAAATTTAGTCAATTAACTGAACTACTTAAGTTTCCTGTGGAAATGTCGCGTATTTAACATAATGATCATTTTATATTTCACTTGTCTATTTGGTAAAAACTATTATTAATCGAATACTCACAAATTGAATTCTTCTAAAGGAAAAGAGTACTACACGTCCCTCGTTTAGGTTACTAGTGTCAGCCTATGGCCCTATTGTCACAATTACTCTTGTAAGAGAGTTTAAATCTAACAACGCGATCCTATTAAGATGTGGCATTGGTGAAATCCTCTAGGAAATGGATATCTTAACTTTTTTAATTAAAATTTGCACTCGGTATTGTTTCTGAATTCTTGAATATTCACTTAAACTACCTTGACTGTCTAATATTTAGGTAATAAAATTGTATATAAATACATTTGCCAACTGTACCGTATCCAGATTTAGCAAACACTTGCAAGTAATTCAACTCTAAATAGGGACAAAGACATCGAATGATCAAGGTGTCAGTATGTCACAGGATGAAATTTCTTGAATCTATATGTCATTACGTGTACACGTTTTTACCAAGTTAATAATTTGAATCTTGAATTAGAATTTAAGAAATTGTGTAATTTTTTAAAGGTAGTAGGAGATTGAAAAGTCAATACACAATGATAGAAATGGAAATTAAAAAAGAATAGTGAAGGGCAGGAAATTTATTTATTTTGAATACATCTCTTTGGTTTGTGCTAAAGAATTATACATATAAGTTGCTTCTAAGCATGCTATGCCATATTGTCTCAATTACTCCTATTGGAAAAATGACAGCGTAAGGTAGCAACTAGTATGGATAGTTGGTCACTTTTTGAAGGCTTCACCCGATAACTAAAGTATATCGTTGTAGCAACCACTTTGTTAGCCTATAGTTTTCTAAGTTATTTTTAAAGGCTTGAAGACATCTAGGGAAGAGAAAAAAACTAGGGAACAATCCAAAACACCTCTTTACTAGAAAATCACACTATGTAGATAGGTCAATTTGTTTAACACATATATACTAAATATGTAGAATCCCTAGGTTAGCTTCTTCGTTCGTGTGTTTACTTTTTTATTGATACACCCGAGTGAAAATTCATAGAACCATACGATAGTTGCTATCTTCAAAAAATGGATGTATTTGGCTTTAAGCTAGACAACATCAGCAAGTACAGATAGGGGAAAACAACAATGTAAGAAATTCCCAAATTCATTTGCTTAGTAAAATCACGGTAATGTGGTGACAATAGA